CCCTAGTGCAAAATGTTTGCAGATTGCAACTTTCCAAGCCATTTCAAACCTGCTTTGACAATTCGGTTTCTATTCTGGGGGCCCGGATGTGTCACAGCCCACAAGTAACACTGACTGGTTGTGCAGGACTCTCATCAAGTAGGCAAGGGGAGGAGACGGAGATTCCTGGGGACTGGGGAGTGTCCAGGCAGTTTTCCAAAAGCACATCGTGCATGTTAACATTTCACATTTGTCATATCTGCCTGCCACCTCTGGTGTCGTTTATCCCACCCATGGTGAGCACATGTGACGCCAGAGGTACAGCAAACTGCAATTGTTCCCTCCCTCTGCCCCTTTATAATTTGGCCAGTGAGGAGCTCCCCCTACCAGGCTAATCCACTTCAATCTTCATTCCAAGGTGAGGCTTCAGCCCGTCCCCCAGCAGGCGCAAAGCTGGCAGGCCATCTGCTCCCTTTCTCAACTCCACTGTTTCCGGGTTGCAGGGAGGAGAGGAGAGAGAGGTAAGGGGACAGAAGCAGGAGGGTTCTTACATGTCTCGTGGCTGGACAGGGTTAAACTGCTCTGCCTCTCTGGGCCTGGCCGACATTGGAGCTGCGTCTCATGGGGCCTTTCACCAGCTCCTTGGGGGTTTCCATATTGAGCCCTATGACTGTAGCAGCCCTGAGGTAGCCAGGTACATGTTCCTTTTACTGGGGGATCCAGGCCTCACCCTCAGCTTCTGGTTTTCTGGCATTCAGCCCACATGGTTATCCCTGCGGGGGGCCCCTCACATTCTGGCCACATCCCTCTGGCCCGGGCCAGCTCCTGCTGTGAATGTCTGCTACCTCCATCTAGCAGGGAGGGTGACAAGGCAGTCAGCCCCTCCCCACCCAGCAGCAGGGCACCCTCTGTCCCCTTCCACCCAGGCAACCAGCTCTCCTTTTAGGTTTCTCACCCAGGCCTCAGACACAGGTCCGTTCTCCCTCTGCTCCCGATAACAGGGGTCACCTTGTAAAACCCTTGATCTGATAAGAGTGCCAAGAGCTGTGGAATGGGCTTTCACACTCTTCCTTTGTCGGTTCTTCACTTTGCCCAGACCCCTCAATGTATCATACAGCATCTCATGTATCCTGGTGCCCAGGTGGAAATTTCGATGCTAATACCCTCTTAACTCGCCCAGTAAGTCCTCTCCAAAGGACTAGGTACCCAGAGCTCACCTGTGCCCCGCCCAAGTCTCTTCCCTGGTGCCACAGTCTTCCTTGCATCCTAGCACAGGTGTTGCCCCAGGGTCCCTGGAGCCAAGTGCCTGTCTAGGGGTTTCTGAGGTCCCCATGCATATTTGTGGGGGCCTGCCTGAGATGCTTAAAGAATCAGTGTGCACTGCTATAGATGACCCTGTTCTTTGTTAAGAAGGGATATTATAAACAGGTATGGAGGCATTAAAGATTTACTATCACCAAATTGAAACTGTTTTTTTCCTAATCAGGATTAAAGAAATAGAAAAGATGATAACTTTGTTACTATATGATATAATGTTATTTAAAGAAGCCTCTGGTACCTGGCCGGGCTCGCTTCTATGACGCTTATCTAGAGAGACCCTCCAAGGTCCAGAGGAGAGAAGTGACTTGCCCAAAGTCACACAGTTGGAGAGCATTGAGGCTGGAACTAGAACAGGCCCCCAAGCCCCAGGGCAGGGCAGGGCTGTGGTCTCCCCTCCTCTCCCTGGTCGGGGAGGCCTGGTTTTCTCTCCCACCATCTATTCCCAGGGTTAAAGGTTCTAGAGGAGCAGGAGGTGAGGTAGGGTCAGGCTGTTTCCAGAGGTGGCCCGGAAGTCTGGACGGGCTCCCAGGGCCGGGGCAGAGCAGGGTCTGAAGGGAAGGGAGATGGAGGGCCCCGGAGGGACATGGGAGCTCCAAGGGCCGAGCCCTGAGCAATGTTCCTGCCCTGCCACCTGCACCACAGCTGCGGGGAGCCCCCTAATGCTTGAAGGCTCTGATTAGGCAGCCAAGCTGTACTGGAACAGCGAAGCCAGCAAGGCTTCCTATCGGACAGAGAGGGCAGATTGGAGTGTGAGAGGCTCAGCATCAGAGGGGAGGGACCTGAGAGGCCATCCAGTCTAGTGGTTCTCAAAGTGGGTCCCTGCACCACCAGCAGCAGCGTTGCTAGGATGTTTAATAATCATGCAAATCCTCCAGCCTCAACCCAGACCACGGAATCGTAAACCCCGGGGCAGGGCCCAGCAATCTGGGTTTTAACTCACCTCCAGGTGAATTTGATGCACACTCAAGTATGGGAACCAACCCTTTACTGTTCAGGTGGGGAAACTGGGGCTCAGAGAAGGAAAAGGGCGTGCCTAAGGTCACAAAGCAAGTTATCACTTGAGGCCCATCCCTGTGTCAGGACGCCATGCCTGGAATGTTCTGCCTCATGGTTTCATTCTTGGGAGAGGCTATTGGTTGCAAAGTGATTGAGCTCATTTGTTGAGAGATCTTGGACAAGCCACTTATTCCTGCTCTGGACCTCAGCTTCTGCATCTTCACAGAGAGGGGCTGGGAGTGGATCACCTCTGAGCACGTAACACTCTGGTCTCTGGTGATCATGCCGTTCCTGCCACCAGCCTTAAGGACACAGTGTAAAATTGGGACATATTGGGACTTGCAAAGTCTCCCAAAAAATTACTTCCCATACCTCTTTTCCAGGAAGCTACTACAGGATATGTACACCAAAATGCGGGATTAAAAAATTTTTTTTAATTAGAAAGAAGAGAGATGTGAGATTCGTAAAACTGGAGATATAACACAGGAGAGAAGCAGAGAGCATCACCATGGTGGTTACCGTCGTCCCCCGTCATTCATGGTTTTACTTTCCACGGTTTCAGTTACCAGAGGTCAACCTCGATAGGAAAATATTAAATGGAAAATTCTAGATATAAACAATTCATAAGTTTTAAAGTGTGTGCCATTCTGAGTAGCGTGATGAAATTTCTCACCATCCTGCTCCGTCCCTCCCAGGACGTGAATCATCCCTTCATTCAGGAACAGGCTCCCGGCGCAGTAGCCATCTTGGTTATCAGAGCAACTGTCGTGGTATCGCAGTGCTTGTGTTCAAGTCACCCTTGTTTCACTTAATGGCGCCAAAACACAAGAGAAGTGATGCCGCCAAGTCAGGCATGCCTTTAAGGAGAAGCCATAAAGTGCTTCCTTTACGTGAAAAGGTGAAAGTTCTTGACTTAAGAAAAAAAATTGTATGCTGAGGTTGCTGAGATCTATGGTAGCTTTTATTACAGTATGTTATAATTGTTCTATTTTATTATTATTGTTGTTAATCTCTTACTGTGCCTAATTTATAAATTAAACTTTATCATAGGTATGTATATATAGGAGAAAATGTAGTCTATAAAGGGCTTAGTACTATCTGCGGTTGCAGGCATCCTCTGGGGGTCTTGGAACATATCCCCCGTGGATAAGGGGGGACCACTGCATAAAGGAGAATCCCAGATGACAAGTGTGTAGCATGTATAGTGATTGGAATAGGAGGATGGAGGGCTCTAGGACCTATATCTTCAGGAAAATAAATGGAACAGATGAATTTTCTGATATATTTGATAATGTAGAAAATAGTCACATAAAGAACTAAGCAAGGGGCCAACCTGGTGGTGCAGCGGTTAAGTTCACACATTCCACTTCAGTGGCCCACGATTCGCTGGTTCAGATCCCGGGTGGGCAAGTGGCACCACTTGTCAAGCCATGCTATGGTTGACATCTCACATAAAATAGGGGAAGATGGGCACAGATGTTAGCTCAGGGCCCATCTTCCTCAGCAAAAAAGAAAGGATTGGCAGCAGATGTTAACTCAGGGCTAATCTTCCTCCAAAAAAAGAACTTAAGCAAATGAAAAAATAAAACTATTAATAGGAAATATAATTATAGTACAGTGCTTAGCTTAGCAGTAAACAATACTTATTATAATAATTCCAAGAGTGAATTTTGATTTAGTCTAGAAATTTATTTTAGCTACATTAGGGAGAGGAATAGGGGTCCAGAGTGATGGAAGAGGGCTGAATCCTCATCTTTCATGAAAGGAATTCAAACAGTAGTGTCTGAAATTGATAGATCAAAAAGAACCAGTATAAGCATATTGTCTTTTAATGGAAGTAAGTGCCAGAAGAAATAGCTAGAGGGTTCAGGGCGGGAGGTTGAGGTTAAGGATGAGTGGAGCTGGAGATCACAGTTTTTCATCATAAGAGTATTTTTTGACCTGGTAAACAATGTCAGTGTAATATTTTTATTAATTTCAACTTTAAAATTTTAAAAAAAGCTCACAGTGTAGCCTGGGGCAAAAGGGCACAAGCCACCTGCAAGTTGCATGACAGGAAAGTGGTGAATGTCCCTGAGCCTCCGTCTCCTCCCCTGTCTCTGTTCAGTAAGGATGTAGGAGATTAAGAACTGCCTGGTGCGCAGGAAGCACTTGGCAGAGCAGCTGTCCCCACGGCCCACCAATGTCACTCAGGTTGGGGCACCTTCACTCAGAACTGAATCCTCACCCACCGACGTGTTACCTCAAGTCCCCTGGTTCGCCTGGGGAAAGTAGCCTCGTTGCATATTATTACCTGCAGTTGGAAGTATTTCTGCCCTCGTCGCTTTCCTTTTGTGCTATGTATTTGAAGGAAACCATGGATCCTTTCTCTCCATCCACAGCCCCTCCCACCCGGCTGTTGCTGGGCTGAAAGTCCTGCCTCCATTTTAGCCAGTGGGGAAGACAGTGGTGTGAGGATGACTGCCTCACACCCAAGACCCCTCCAGAGTATGTTCTGGGTCCATGACTCAGCTCATCCAAACGTATCTTCAAGATATGATGACACTGGCCAGCGGCTTGCATGTGATGCAGGAGAGAGCAAGAGGCAGAAATACGATTGAGTCTCTCCCAGCTGCAGCCTCCGCCTCCTCCAGATGCCTTTCTGATTGACACCAGTCACCTCAGTGACCAGACTCACCTGCTCACAGCTCTCCTGCCTCCCACAGGTGACCACCATGATCCCCTGGGTGCTCTTGGCCTGTGCCCTTCCATGTGCGGCCGACCCACTGCTTGGTGCCTTCGCCCGCAGGGACTTCCAGAAGGGCTCCCCACAGCTCGTCTGCAGCCTGCCTGGCCCCCAGGGCCCACCTGGCCCCCCAGGAGCCCCCGGGCCCTCAGGAATGGTAGGAAGAATGGGCTTTCCTGGCAAAGATGGCCAGGATGGCCAGGACGGGGACCGGGGGGACAACGGAGAGGAAGGTAAGAGGCCTGGTACCCTTCCTGTTCCCACCTGGGGTTGACAGCATCTAGCCCAGAGAGGGTTTGTGAAGTTATAAAAACTAGTATTAGTCTCATTTCATTATAAACCAAGTTAATGTCTCTTTAAAACACAGAGGGGTATATTCTCCTGAAAGGAGCAGTGGGTATCAAATCTTGTGTTCCTGCCCCAGCTGCACCACTGATTCGCTGGATGACTTTGGGCAAATCTCCTGAAATATCGTTCAGAACTCTTTTGGTTGCAAGTAACAGGAACCCAATTTATAGCCCCAAATGGAATTTATTGCCTATGTAACTAGGAAGCCCAAGAGCTGAACTTCAGGAATGGCTAGGCCCAGGAGCTCAAATATTGTTCTCAAGGCTCTGCTTCTTTCTGTGTGTTGGTTTGTTCTCACAAAGGCTAGAAGTTATGAAATGGTGGGCTCCAGCCTGCCTCCTCCTGGCTTGATCCATAGGGCAAATCTCAGGATGAGCCATCCTCCTTGCTCACCTGTGTATCCTGGACCAATCCCTTTGACCATGGAGATGAAGAACCACTGTTTGCTGGGACTGGGTGTGTGTGAGTGGGTGGGGTGGGCAGTTGGTCGCTGTGATTGACACTTTCACTGGGACCACGTGAAGTAGCGAAGGGCAGGTCCCTGAAGGAAGGGATGCCAGGCAGCCAGCAGACAGACTGGATACTCACTACAGGCCTCTCAGCTTTGACATTTCTTATGTCTCTCAACTCTCACCCCACTAACCGAGCACTTTTCAATGTCAGCAGCATCTCCAAGTGTACACTGGAAGCAGCAGGGAAATCATCGTAACTTTTATTTGTATGGCATTTTAACACTGACAAAGCACTTCCGAGTATGTTGCTCATCTGGCCGAGAAGGAGGTATTCTTAGCATCCCCATGTTACAGATGAGGAATCTAAAAGTCAGTGCGATGAAGTTGAGAACAGCGTGTCATGGCTGCAAGAACTTGAACTTTGGAAATGAACCTGGATACCAATTTTGGCAGATTACTTAACCTCTCTCCAAACCTCGGTTGCCTCATCTCTAAAATAGGGATAAGAATAGCACCTCCCTCGCAGGGGTGCATGGAGATGAAATAAAATCACATGGGAAGCACCTGTCTCGGAGTAGACATACAATAAATGATTGTCACCCCTTAATTGACTTACTGAGCTCACACAGCAGGCTGGTCACAGACTCCAAATCCAGGCCTTTTCCTACCACACCAAATTAGTTCCTCTAAAAGCACCTCCTTCCTAAAAGAATAACTTGATCAATAATGATGATGGCTTTGAGTTGAGGGGTCTCACAGTATGTCAGGCCCTGGATGTCATGGTAGCTCATTCCCTGACCTCAGTGGTAGATTCGGGTCTGGGCATGTGCTCCAGGGAGGGCCAGCTGGAGTTTCCCTGACATTCGCCTTATGGATCCTACGGGTGAGAGGGTGTCTCTGCTATTGGCTTTTTCCCCTTGATCAAGAGCTGTGAGGATGTAGGCTTGAGGCTGCTTTTGGCCAACTCTCCTAGCAGGCACTGAGTCTCTGCTGAGAATTAAGCCAACACACTGAGGATGGCAGTGTTGAGAGATGGACAGTCCTGACGTGTGTAACCCAGATAAAGCCGGGTCACCCTGGGACCAGTACAGGTTGACATCCAGCTACCCTCCCCCTGACGTACACGGACAAATCCATCCCCAGAAAGATCTTGAAAAGTAAAGGCAGCTTTCCCTAAAGTTTCTCCAAAAGCTAATCAAGAAGGAAGCACATCACATAAAACATAGTGGAACTTCCCGATAAGCTTCCTTATCTGTCTCCCCAAAAACCTCCAAACCAAAAGGACTCTGTCCTTACCCCTCCTCTTCTCACGGCTCCTTCTCCCACCTTTTGTTTATTTTCATTTTTTCAAGGAAGAGCTTTGTATCCTTTCTTGGTCTTATTTTTCTCCATTCTTTTTATTTATTTTTAATTACATGAGTAATACACAAATATGTTCTCATGGTAATAATATTCAAACAATAAAAGTAAAACGAGAGTCCTTCTTAATTCCTACCCCTCTGGCCCTCCCCTCATCCTCCAGTGGTAACCACGCCTATTTAGTTAGATGTGTATCACTCCTGGCCTTTTCCTACGTATTTACATACATGTATAATAATACCAGGCACTGCCAGCCACTTAGCATAAGCAATCTGTTCTTGAGAGCTGGATGTTTGGGGAGAAAAAGCTATTTGGGAATCTATTTCCCAATTGCTTAAAATAGGAAAAGTTTAAATGCATTGCATGTTAACCTAAGACTCTCAAACACAGTAAAATTCCTACTTATATATAATATAAGAAGCAAAGTACCTTGTTAGGATGTAAAAAGCCTACAATATTGCTTTCTGATCACCCAGTTCACATGGTGGTTAACAAACGTTGCTTTGTGTACAGCGATACTACGATGCCGTCCAGCAGCAGCAACCTTCAGAAGCAGCCTCCTTGGTTGATATGCGGCCACTTTTCAAAACATCTTCACCCAATTCTGTCCCCTTAGCAATTGTACTGATTGTACGATTGTGTTTGGCGGTGACTCAAATCTTTACCCATATATGTTTTGTTTAAAATGTTGAATTGAGTTTAGGGTACATATATATAAATGTTTCCTATATAATCATTGGCCAAAAATGTTGTATTAAGGCCAATGCACATGTTATTAAAAACCAAGAGGCATTCTACAGGAAAACGTTGGTGCGGAAATGTTCTGCAGGATATGCCAAGTATGTTTAGCAAGTGCTTACTATGGCCCAGGCACTTTTCTATGCACTTAAATTGGTATAGCAAAGGATAGTGTTGTGGTTTCCTTTTCCCAAAAGAGATTCTACTACCCGCTTTTTCCTCTTACCAGTGTATTTTAGAGAAGTTTTCATATAGTGCATGTAAATCTGCCTCATTTTTTTTAAGTCCTGCATGGATTGCACAATATGGATGGACCGTACTTTTTTAATCATTTCCCTTCGGATGGGCATTTAGTTGTTCCCAGTTTCTGCTACTGTAAGCAGTGCTGCATTAAAACCCTCGTACGTGTGGGCAGGGATCTGGGGCACGAGGCAGGGATTTCACTAACATCAATATTTTGAAGTCAAAAAGCTTCTTCCAATTTTTCCAATTCTCTTCTCAACCCATGACCAGAACAGACAGTTGAAGGATTAGTGTAGCAGACAAACTAGACTCTCCCTTGGAAGGCAGGAAAAGGGAAGGGCGAGAATGGTTACAAGTTAGTCTTTTTGCCCTGATCCACAATGATTCTGGAAGGTAAGTATCCCCATTCCCATTTTCCAGATAAGACTAGGAGAAGGGCCCCAGTTTACACCATCAGGATTTGCACCCGTTACTATGCGACTCCAAAGCCTTCTTATTCTTCCCATTACCCCAAGGCCCATGCTCCAAGGATGGAAAGCCAAGGCCCACAGCCTCTGCCTAGTGCTGTGAGGGCCCCTCTGTAACACCAGCTGCTCTGTCTTCCAGGTCCACCTGGCCGCACAGGTAACCGGGGAAAGCCAGGACCAAAGGGCAAAGCTGGGGCCATTGGACGGGCCGGCCCTCGCGGCCCCAAGGGGGTCAGTGGTGCCCCAGGGAAGCACGGCACACCAGGCAAGAAGGGGCCCAAGGGCAGGAAAGGGGAGCCGGGCCTCCCAGGCCCCTGCAGCTGCGGCAGTGGCCGTGCCAAGTCCGCCTTCTCGGTGGCAGTGACTAAGAGCTATCCGCGGGAGCGGCTGCCCATCAAGTTCGACAAGATCCTGATGAACGAGGGTGGCCACTACAACGCGTCCAGCGGCAAGTTCGTCTGCGGCGTCCCGGGGATCTACTACTTCTCCTACGACATCACGCTGGCCAACAAGCACCTGGCCATCGGCCTAGTGCACAATGGCCAGTACCGCATCCGGACCTTCGATGCCAACACAGGCAACCACGATGTGGCCTCAGGCTCCACCATCCTGGCTCTCAAGCAGGGGGACGAGGTCTGGCTGCAGATCTTCTACTCCGAGCAGAATGGACTCTTCTATGACCCTTATTGGACCGACAGCCTCTTCACGGGCTTCCTCATCTACGCAGACCAGGACAACCCCAATGAGCTGTAGACAGGCAGGCGTTGGGTCTCCAGGGGGAACAGCCTCCTGGACTTGTGCTTCCAGAGCAAGACCCCTAAACTGTCTGCTGGGGGCCGTGAGTTGGGACCTTCTAGCCTCAGGCCAACCTCCCCTGCCTCTTTTTTCTCCATCATTAAATCCAAGCTTTTTTATTCATCCTTCCATCTATCCATTCAGTAATTTTTTTGGCATCTACTGTGCGACAGGCACTGTGCTCTGCTCTGGAAGGTACATCAGTGAACGAGACAGACAGAGGCTCTGTCCTCATGGGGCTCACATGCTAGTGGGAGATATAACCTGCCAAAAATATAATTATTGTGCCAGGATGGAAGTGCACATGCCACGCTCAAGAGTAACAGGGGACAGGGAAGAGGTTGAAATTTATTTTTAGATTTCATCGTTTGAGGTTTACTCATGTCCAGTAAAGTCTACAAATTGTAAGTGGACGGCTCAATGATTTTTTACATATGTACACACCTTGTAACCTCCATGTAGATCAAGAAGAGAGTATTTCCAGCCCCCCAAGTCCCCAAGGCTCTCTTAAGTCCCCTGTCAGTCAGGACCAGGGAGAGGTTATTTTTAAGCTGAGCCCCGAAGCAGGAGATAGAGCAAAGTGAAGGGTGGGGAAGGGGTCTCCTGGCAGAAGGAGCTGCAGATGCAAAGGAAAGAGCTTGGCGTGTGTGAGGAGCTGACTGGAGGCAAGAGGGATGAGGGAAGTGAGAAAGGCGACGGGAGGCATGAGGTGCGAGGCTGGATCACACAGGACCTCACAGGCCGTGGCAGAGTTCATTCCGCTCAAGAAAGCTTATCCGAATGCAAGAGTGTGCCTGGCCTTAATATAGGGGTAACCTTGAACCTGTTCAATGTTGAGTCAGATCAGTCTCACACTTAAGCACTTTGCTCTTAGTTACAAATCACCTGCAGGCCCACTTCTCCGTCCATGAGACACACTAGGATCTCCCATGCCTGAGAGCCACGGCTCTAAGCTGGCGGGATGGGTAGTGTGTAAAGGACTCCTGTCCCTGCCCCAGGGGTCTCCAGTGTGCATGGATCTGAGGGACAGAAGAAGCCGCAGTACAAAGTGGCTGGTGTGAGAAGGCCCCACAGGGCAGTTGCTGGAGAGAAAGAACTTTCTGAAGGAGCTGCAGCTCCCTGGCAGATTGCTCTGACCAACCTCTAGCTGGAAAGTGGGACCAGTGGGGGCCTCAAGGACAGGGAATGCTGCCTGGGGTGGTCCTGGAAGGGGTGGCCCCTCCATAAATAAAATGAGGTTTTCTTAAAACGACTCCATTCTTGCTGGGCCACAAAGAGTATGGGATTAGGATAGGCCTGAGAAACCCAGGAAGGGGTTTGGGGCCCAAGTAGATTGATGTGCAGGTCAGAGTCCTTCCCGGCACCCCTATAGGAAGGGGCCAGCTTCTGAGATCAAGGGGCATATTTGTCTGAACAGTTCTTTTTTTCTTTTCCTTTTAGTCTTTTTTAGGAGCTCATTTAGCCACTTCCGCTTCCTTCCCCCAGGGATGTAGGCATTTCAAGACAGTTGACTTAACTCTTTGTCGCCTGGGTAATAAATCCAGCCTGAGCAATATGGACAGGACCCCAGAGCTCTGTAGCTGCCACTCCTGGGCCTGACCTGCTCCCATGTCCCCTTCACTCTGCTGGGGAGTCTCCAGGGAGGATGGTGGGCATAATGGGGGGACACTCGGCACTCTGTGCTGACTGGGGCAGATGGAAGCAGAGATCTCGCAGCCCAACATTGGGAGCTTGTCTCCCTTGGATGTGGTCCAGGGCTGCTGGAGGTGGTGAGATGGGAGCACTGGGTTTGGGGCAGGTGGGGCAGAAGCAGGGGACACAATTCAGGGAGCCTCTGGTGGCCAGCTGATGCCAAGGATGAGGGCTGGTTTATCCCCTAACACTTCTGAGGGTGGCTGCCTCCTGGGTGAGCCACTTGGAGTCCCCAACAGATGATGCAGAATGGAGGCCCCACGAGGAAGGTGTTCCAAGCAGGGCGCCTTCCCAGACACACTGGGGTACCAGCCCCTCCTCCTGGCTCTGGCTGCTTGCACTGGGCCCCAGACACCTGGGCCTGTCTTTAGGGCTTCTCATTTGTAGGCATCGATGAAGACCCAGAACCCAGTGCATCTTTGTGCAATAAAATTGCCCTCGAACCCAGGGTCTTTGCTCATAAGGGACACACTTTGAAAGGCAGTCACTGTCAAAGCGAAACAAAGCCAGACACTAGTTAAAGTGGTAAGGACAGATTTTAATCACTAATATACTATTGTAATAGGGAAAAGAGTCCAACGTGAACTGAACTCAACTTCGAGTCGTACAGAGGCGACTGGGTATTTTCAAGGGAGCAGGAGGGACTAGGGATGGGGGCGTGTGGCGCTGTAGAGTCAGGGAAGTGGAAAATTGCAAAGCACAGGAAGGGAATTAGTCCAGGTGAAACCCATCTGGGTTTGCTAACTGGTGTTTGTCAGAGGGGCTCCTCCCCCTGGCAGAGACTGGGAGACGGGTCTACAGATCTTGGCTGGAACAAACAATACCTTCTTTTGGCTCTCTTGAGTTTTTTCAGGCAGCCTCTTTAAGGGGGGTCATCTAGGGATGTGGCCGTGAGCTGTTAGAAATGATGCTTGTGTTTGCTCAAGTCTTTATGGGCCAGGGTTGGCCAGCCTAGTCAAGAAGAGGGCTCAGAGGAGCCTGGCTACAGTTTAGGCAAGGAGAGACTCTTTGTCACTGTCCCCTCCTGGAGAAAGCCCGAAGAGTCTGCAGCTCTGATTATTATGGTGCAAAGAGCTCGAGACCCACACTGCCCTGACAGGCCGGCCCCGGCCCTCGCTGGGCCTCACAGCTCACCTGACATGTGAGGGGGGGCTGTACGTGATATATCAGGGTGGTCTTCCAGTGCTGACTCCTGGATTAGGACTAGGGCTAGGGGGAGGCGAATGAGGTACTCACTCCAGGCACAAACTTTAAGAGGTTGCCAAAAACCTCAGTTATCCATATAAATAATATTTTAATGTAACATTTTAATAAATCAAAATTAATGCAAAAAAGCTCTAAGATGAACAAAATATCAAAATTTTAAGGACATGGGATGTGACAGTGCTGGTATTAGGGTGAGGTGAGGGAGGCCGAGTCGTGCAAGAACCTGGGATCCTGGTGGTCCACCAGCAGCATGGGACCCCTGGGCAGCCAGGCCCTGGGGGTGGAAACTTTCTTCACTTCCTGCCTGTCATCTTCACTTGTTCCACTAGGGGGAGCACGCCCACTACACAAAGCTCCAGGCCTGAGGCTCAGAGGCTGGAGGGTCTACCCTAGTCTCTTCTCCAGGCTGCTTTCTAGATTCAGAGCCAAAAGAAGAAAAAAAGAGAGAGATTTAGGCCCATGGTATTATGAGACCATGACCTTCCGCTGGGGAAAAGAAAAAGAGTAAAACACAAGAGCCGCACATCTTCCTAGCATTTTCAGTTAAAGGGATTTCCGTACATTCTAAATTGCAGAGACAGCTGGGATAGGGCAAGAATACAGCAGTTGTCTGGGAAACAAGGAATCTGGATTCCAGTCCCAGCTTTGCCTTCAGATTCCTTGAATGACTTGGCCAAGTGATTTCACATCCGGTGGCCTCAGTTTCCCCATCTGTGGAATGAAGTATTGGATCAGACGATCTCAGAATCCATTTTGGCACTAAACATGTTTCTGTCTCCAAAGCAGAACTAGGAAAAGAGCCTGACATTCCTGAAAGGTAAATTAAAGCAGCTGGGTGATTCAGGGCGGCGTGTTCTGGAATGTTGAACTTCCCCTTCAGCCCTCTGCTCCCACAGAGGACTTCCAACAAACCGCTGTTACTAGGTTTCCTGCACCAGCAAACAACGGCTCACTTCTGCTGAACATTAGCCATGTGCTGGGTTTTACAGGTATTGTCTCTTTTCGGCTTCTCAACATTCCTGTGAGCAGTGGCGATGAGCATCATCCCCACTTTACAGATGGAGAAATCTGAGCCCTAGAAAGGCTAGGTCAATGCCAAAGGTTACCTAGCTGATAAATGCATAGCTAGGATTGGAAGGGTGTCTGAATCCAGACAGTGCGTTTTCAACTGCAGTGGCCACAAGTGGACCCATCTGTGGGCAACGGGCCCTCCCTGCCACTGGTGTATCCCCTTGTGCGAGGGGAGCCAGAGGAGTGCCCTGATTTCGAAGCACTCCTGAGTGGTGGGGGTTGGGCCCCAAACACTTGCCTCCCACAAAGCGGGGTCCTGTCTAGCGGATTGAAGGTTTCATCTCAATTCAGCAAACATCTCCTAAACCCTCGCTGTGGCAAGGCCAGGGAAGGCTCCTCTGGTCCCCCTAACAGGTGGGGAGTCAGAATCTCCCAGGCCGGCGGGCGGGGGTTGAATCAGTGCTCCAGCCAAACCGCCTCCTTCAGTTTCCACCCGGGGGCGGGGGGCCTGCGAGTCAGGCTCATGAACAAGCTCCTCAGCTGACGGCAAAGTACAGCCAGCTTCCAATCCCTGGGCCAGGCTGAGGGGAAAACCAGAACAGGAAGACTCTGATTCTACCCTTTAATGGGGGTGGGACGTGTGTGTGCCTTTTTCTTCCTTTTCCGCTTTCCTGGGGTCACTTCACAGCGGTCCTCAGGCCCAGGTGGATGTTGAAAGTGGAGCTCTGACGGTGCCTCACCGGCCCGGTTCCTCAGCCCGCGTCTGAGGGCAGGAAAGGAGCCTGGTGCTTTCTCCGTCCTGACAACCTCTCCCCAGCCTCTCCCCTCTCTCTGATCCGTAGACAGACGCCTGAAAAGAATTTCTCAGAAATGGCCCACAGATGGCTCTGGGCAAATCGCTTTTTTTGTGTTAAGGCATTCTTCATCTACTTTATAATTGGGCCGCAGGTTGGCCCTGATTAAAAACAAGAAGGAAGGGGTCAATTTCATCCCTGGTATTTATTTTTCACCGATGTCCTCATGAACGGGCAGCACAAGTTCATCTCCACCCCCAAGTGGTTTTCAAGCTGAGACTGGTAATTATCCAAAATGGCCTCCTGGTGTGAAAAGTCTGTATTCCACTTGGGGCTCCCTTATCCCATAAAACTCATTTAATGTATGAGCTTAATTACGTGGCGATCAAGGGCCTCGGAGGTGAAAGGCTAACTAGCGCATTAAATCCTGAGCTGCTCTCGGCTGCCCCATCACTTGGCAGAATTGTGTGGGCAAATCACTCTTGAAAAGCTCCCCATCCGTGGGGTGAGTCCCGTACCAGGCACATACAGCCAGAAACTGTCCCAGGGAGGATGTGGGGGTCTGGAAGGACCACCTTCTATAAGGACCGCCTGCAGGCTGGTCCTGGGGGCAAGGGCGACAACTGGTTTGAGGAGCCCTAGAGGGCAGAACTTGAACAGCTGGTGAACTTCATCAAGCAGCCAATTTTGGCCAGTTTACTTATT